TATGACTCCTGGCAAGGGTAATTACGGCGTTCATAATATGCCTGCTTATCATTACTAGCTTATTTTTGTTTGTTTTCATATTAGGTCGAATTATTTAATAAAACCGATGCCGAGTGAATTGAAACAAGAGTGTATTTATCTAAGATACAACTCATCTCTTGACGTATATGCTAGACCCTATCATAAGGAAATCGAATCAAACGAAGGAGAGTTGGCGTCTAGAACTCCTACTTACTTTACTGAAATTTTCAGCCAAGGATGGCAGTCAATGGCTATGCGATACAAAAATATCTCTAGAAAGGTTGAGAAAGACTGGAAAATGGTTTACATCGCCCGCAAACAGGGAACTGAAAGTCATAAAGAGGGTGTAATTGAATGGGTCGTTGATTTAACTGGAACTGATTATTGTGTCAAGGATGTAACATTGTTTGCTACCATGGCTGCCTTTGAAGACAGGTCAAAAGTTGTTATAGGAGTGATAGATGACAGTGGAAGGAGTCGAGAACTCACTCTTGGATCGCCTCCTCTGACTTCCTGCCCCATTTTTGCTGGTGCTAAAACTCTCCGTTTGTCAGCCCGACTCTATAATGAGAAGGATAACGATGACCCTTCGGTTTGGCAGAAAGCCCAACTTTTCCGCCAAAAGGCTAGTTGGATAATTTCCCTTTAAATGCAGTCTCCTTTTGGAAGTGTCACATACTGTTTTTCCTTGTAGTCTACCGATCATGAAACCTGGCCTTTGGAGTTCAAAGTCACCTTGAAACTTGAAGAAAACAATTAATCTTATTCCTTTCAATGATTTGTTATGTATTGCCTTTTCTCCACTCACTTCTTTCATGAATTCTAACCGTCGACAAGTTTACTTATTATTTGCTATTTATTAAATGCCTACCATTTGCTTGTTGATACTTGTCCTCTATTGCCTTTTCAGAGATTTCAGTTTTACCTAATCCGTCGCATTATACGGTACTGTAGTTATGTTAATGGGTTTCAATTTTGGCCGTTTCGTTAAATCGGTTTGATAAAATTTGTAAAATTAAATCATGATGTTCACATGTCTTCGTGTCAGCAGAGCGGTTAGTTCGAATGATTTGTTTTTTTTGAATGATTGAATTATTTTAGTGCTAACGAATATCAGTTTGGGTAGCATTAGAGTTTTCACTTTTCTGTAAAATCAGTCACTCTCTTACAAACATTAACGCTTTTTTCTGCTATTGCGCTATTACTATTATTGGAGCTTGAATCGCGTAGACCATGACAAATATGTATTTTACATAAGATTTACATCGTGACTTTGTGGTTCTTAGAAAAAGTCAATGAGAATGTGGGGCATTTGACTATCATTCTACAGCCTAATGCTCGGGTTGATTGTGTTGAGGCTCGTGTGGATTGTGTTGGGGGTGATGCCACAGGGATGTTGCGGTCTCGACGAACTGATGCGACATCGACAATCAATCCTGTCTTTATGTCACAGCCTCGGGGTGGACCTGGTTGCATAGGGAGTAGCCGACTTGCCCCTGGGTTGTCATTGGAGAAGAGGTGCCGAAGACGTGAGGTGATCTTGGAAGGAATGACCGATCAGCGTGCAGAAATCGTTGGCTTTGATGAGGGCATTTACGGAGTTAGAAGGTGGTGTTGGTGGAGCGAATGTACACTTTTGAATCGATTGTCTCCCTGGGTGGGCGTATAAATTCGATGAAATTCACCTCTTGGGGAGAAATTAGAGGACTGCAAATCGACATGACGTTGACATGGAGGAAAATTGGTTGATGGGAACACGTATGGGGCCTATGTGCTTATATTGGTGATGACGTTTAACTTTAGCATAAATGAGACCCATTTTGCATGCATCCATTAGTAAGAGTTTATAAACTGAATTGAAAGACCTGGCCTGTTTCTTCTATGCTTTTTAATCAACCTACTTGACGATAGAAGAGGAGAGTATCAGAGGTTGCCACGATTTTCAAAATTCCGTTCTGATATGTTTTGCAATAGCAGCAAGCAAAATGTGGAATATTGGTTTATTGATTTTATGGGAGACAAATTTTCATATGAATTATGTAAAATCTGCCTCTTTTACATCAGTGAATCGCTCTTCTGCTCCCCACCTCTTTTACATCTGTTAATCGCTCTTCTGTTCCCCACCTCTCGACTTTCTGCTACTTTGATGAACCTTCCCTCTGTGAAGCACGAAGACTTTCTGCCACTTTGATGAACCTTCCCTCTGTGAAGCCCCGAAGTCAGATAAATGGCTAATGATAGCTATCAAAACGCCTGCCATTTGAAATAAATAAATTATTGTTTTTAGTGATCATGTTCATTCACAAAATCAAGTAATTTTATTTCTAATGTCGATTGTTTTATATGTACATTTGGCATTTTATCAGTGTTTGTCAACATGACTTTTAAACACTTGTGTTAGGACCATAGTGAGTGAACTCAGAGTTACCATCTATTTTGCATGGAAATTTGATCCTTATCGACTACCCTAGTTAGTTCTGATCAATAGGAGAGGCGGGGAATACGAGTTTCTACTGAAGGCGATTATGAGATACATTTGTAGGAGAACGGACCAATAGCCTTCAGCTAATAGCAGCAAACGGCAGACAGTCACGACTTATCAAGAGGAGTACTCCAAGAGTTGTGAGTGGACTGAGTGCAGCGTAGAATCATGATTAAGTTTGTTAATAGGAAGAAGAGGGAGCTTCACGTTTAGTTAGCGGCATGTGTTTCCTCGTTTGCGTTTATTATACAGGGGGCCTTACATAGGGTCTTAGAGTAGGAGTGACACAAACAGCCAGAGTAGTTCCAAATACCACTAGTTGAGGAAACCAGTGCCTACCATGGCTCAAATTAAGGACCCCTTAGTTAGTTTGATGGGAGGAATTAAACCAAACCCCTTGAGAACACACAATGCCTATCTAAGAAACTTGAGGTCACCATAGGATTAGCCACCACTATGAGATCCAGGTAAATAGGTATTACAGATTACTAAAGACTTAATTAAAATTTAGAAATTCAGGCATCCTTCCTTTACTTTCTTTTTACCTGAGTAACTTGTAGTACTAACAAAATTCAACGCATAGGTCCGAATCGTCAGTCCTTGTATTGCGCAATGGATGATTTTATTTGGTAGCTCATAGCTGCACAACACATCATCAACGAGCCTAAATTTGTGAGGTCTGACGTAATTCGGGTAGCTTTTTTCTCACTAATTTATCTTCCTACTTCTTGCCTATTTCCATCCTCATTCGTTTCCAATAG